AACTGGCCTGAGATGGTAAATAATTTGCCCAAGGTCATGCAGTAACATGCAAAGTTGGGACATACACCTAGGAAGCCTGACTTGTAACTATGTGTACTATTGCCTTTTTTTTTTTTTTTAAGATTTTATTTATTTATTTGACACAGAGAGACAGAGAGACCACAAGCAGGCAGACATGCAGGCAGACGAAGAGGGAGAAGCAGTTTCCCGGCTGAGCATGGAGTCCGATGCAGGACCCTAAGATCACGACCTGAGCCAAAGGCAGCTGCTTAACCGACTGAGCCACCCAGGCGCCCCTGTAACTATGTGTCTTTAACCAATGGGTTATGTTAGTAAATAATAGCCAAATTAAATAAAGATTGAAGCCTTTTCTTTGAAGATATGGTGATACATGTATAAAAGATTAAAAGATGTGACTACACACAGTAAGGACATATTATAAATGAATTCTGTTCATATATATATGGTATATATATATATACACACATTTTCTTATGTATATTTGCACATGAGCCTGTATATAATCTGTGTATTTACATATATATCAAAGAGCCACTTGAATAGTATAGAGAAAAAGTATTTGGCAGGAAGAAAAAGATCCATAATCTATGGAACGTTTTCATGCAGAAAATATTAACTGACTATATATATATATATTTGCAAATTCTTAAGCCTTATTTATAAATCAGATGTTTATAAATAACATCTTTCCTTTTCTTGAATACAGGACTCTGTTGTTGCAAGTACTACCAAAAAGCTAACAGGGCATTATAGAGATTTGAAACAAATGAACAGGACGAGCAGTAGAGTAGAAAAAGCACTAGGCTGAAAGCCAGATTCTTGTCTGGAGTCTGCCATGGATCAGCTAGATGACCTTAGACTACTTAGACTATTGAATGAGTGGGTTGGAAAAAAATGATCTCTAATGTTCCTTCTTACAGTATGATTCAATTTTCTTTCTTTAGTGAGGAAGAAGTGATGGCATAGCTGATAGACAAGGACAAAAGTGAGTAGCAATCTAGGTACGTAAGAAGCAAGTTAAGAGATGTAAAGACCACCTGGACCCTGAACCAAAGTAAACATGTTCATAAATCTCTTCCAGTATTGGGATCTCACTGAATTTATCTCTAGGATCTCATTTATGAAAGATCTTCTTTTATGTCATGAGCATGAACAAAGGTGTTGCAACATTTTTATTAAAAGTGCATTTCACCATTCATACTATCAACTTTCTGGATCTAAAACTGAACTCCCCAGATGGCAGATACACTTGTGGTGAGCATGGCATAACCATAGAGAAGCTGAATCACTAGGTTGTACACCTGAAACTAATCTTACACTGTGTGTCCACTATACTAACCACAATTCCCCACAGCCCCCAAACTGAGCAATATGAGGATTATTACAAGGGTAAAGTGAGCCAGGGCTTCAATTTAAACACTTGGTACTGTACTTAAAGACCTTTGAAGGTCTTTACTAAGGAATTAACGCTAATGTATGGTTGTGGTACTTTCCATATTCAGCACTTTCAGTATATATTATTTCTGTGTATGGAAAAAAGTGGTAAAATTGCCATTAAACATTAATGAAGCTATCTTTGGGTTACATAAGAACACCACCAAGAATCATTTACTGACTTAACTTTCTACATTGTTGTTCCACTGCCCCAATGAAACATTTCTGCACCCATGCATGTTGTTAACATCATTTATCCACTTCCCTTTTTTTAGTTCACTGTTCCAACTCAGAACAATAAACAAGGTTAGGTTTGGTGAGGACATGTATTAAAAGTATAACCACGGCTTTATTATATCTGTAATCAACAGAACCAAAAGGACTGGGTACTTTTCCTTTTAGAAGTGAGGGGAAACAGCTGATTCGTTTGTACATAAAAAGTTTTATATAAAGTGATATTTTAATATTATTAGACAGTACCTAAAATTTGTGAGTTTAAAGAGCACCTTTTATATAATCAGCATTCAAAACTTTTTAATCAATAAAGTCTAAAGTAGCTAATCATGCTTCCTTGCAACATACTTATTGTAACGATTTGGAGGTTTCCTACCTCTGAGGAGGAATAAAAGGCAGACAGAAGATTAAAATAAGTCCTATTTCAGCATAAAGAAAGGTTGCAACTGCCACCCACTGGAGTGTCATTTTTTCTCTTCACACCTAAACAGAGAAACACTTAGTTAACTTTGCTGCCTTTCAAAAAAAAGAACTTGGTTAAGGGCCCTGGGGCGAAATGTTTTAGTCCAGGGGACTGAGGGGGGGCTCCGACTTTCCTCTAACCCGAGGCACCTGGCCTTAACCCGCGGCGGGAGGGGTAGGGCAGGGGCCAAGGGTGGGCCGGGAGGCCCGCGTCTTCACCACCCGGCGGAGCCCTGCGGAACCAACGAGGCGGCCTCCGCCTCACGGAGGGCGTGCTTGCCGGCCACCTCGCAGCGACAGCAACCTAACGCTACCTTCTGCTAACGCCCGCGCCGAGGGGCCCTCCCACTCCGCGAACGCGCCGCGAGCTGGGCCAGCTCCCGAGGTTCAACCGCGGGGGGAGAAGCGCGACCCCGCCGCCCCGCGCGGCCTGGCGCTCCTCCCCGCCTCGCGGCCCGCGACTCCCGGGCACCCGCCCAGCCTTACCCAGCCTGCGGCCGGCCTGGGTCCCCGCGCTGCTCCGCGCAAGGCGACGCGCGGGACGTCAGACGCCGCGGCGGGGCGAGGGGGGCGGGGAGGGGACCGGTGGGAGGGGGTGGGGCGGAGGAGAGCGCCCCACCCCCCCCCGCCCCCGCCGGCTCCCAAACCGGAACCGCGGGGCTGCAGCCAGCCGAGGTCGCAGGCGGCGTCAGGATAATTAGAATAATTATTTATTAATTGGTGGTGGAGTTAGAGGGTGACTCAGACTTTTCGGCCGAGTGCTTGGGGTTCCCCGGTCAACTTCTTCAAGAGAGCCGCCTGTAAATTTCTAATAAAGTGTGGTTTGGGTGGGAGGGGCGCGGTTAACGGACGTTTTCCGAAAGAGCTTCTTGGGGTCCACGGAGAAGGAATGGCGCCGGGGCGGGGAGGGTTTGATAGGGTGATGCGAATTCAGTGAACCTGTTTGAAAGGCGCTCTTTTCCTGGCCTTTCCTGTTCCGTCTTTCTTTGGTAGAAACGCTCTTATTGTCCGGAATTGCGCTAGAGTTAAATGGAAGAGGCAGGATTGGTGGTTGTGCAGCATTTTGTTCTTGTGAGAACGTGGAAAAATATGCAGCTTCAAAACATTTCCCTGCTCTGTCTGCAGGCTGGGAAGAGACCATACAATCTAGAAAGATGTTTGGGGACTGAGAGGGAGAGAAAACAATGTGTGTGGCGCATTCCTTCAATTACTGTTTTCCAGATTTTCGAATTGCGTGAATACACTCTATTAAAATTTTTTAAAAAATATTGACAAGATATCAGAAATGCAAATGACAGTATTATCCTCCTGGACACAATTATTTTGGGAATATTAAATGATGTAAAGAGATAATTATAGAATCTAAAAATACACTTAAAGTGGGCGCTTTTTCTTATCACAAATACACTTGATCACACAGAAAAGAGAAAAAGGACTAAATATAAATTAACTATAAGGAAGGCATTTTTTTTTTTTAATCAAACTTATTTAGAACTCCATGCTCTTCCACACTGGTTCCTTTGAAAGGCTGTGCACCGTACTCTATGCTGTTGTGCACACACACTAGTTTAATTCACTTCAGAGTTAATTTACAAACATAAAAATTACAAATTTTGACTATAGCTCCCTATTCTTACATATTACTTAAATGAAAAAGCCAGTTATCTTTAAAAATATGTTAATTGAAAATAGAATGTGCCTAAAAAATATGGCAACACAGTGTTTAGTTTAAAATGGATTCACTTAATATTGCCAAACACTTGAATTAAGCAGTTTTAGATAACTGTCTCCTGATACAGTTTTCACGTTGGTAGTATAGACCAATATCTTAACTATGGAACTTTTAATAGTTAACTGAGATACTTAATTCTTGCAGTGGCACATTCACCAACAACAAAATTCTTAGTAACACTCCCAGACCATGGAACTTTAAAATTATAAAAAAAAATTAAAATTATTATCAACTGCTGGGAGGCATAAAAATAACAAATAAATCACTAAAAACAGGGTATGGAAATTAGGTTTTTAAATTAAAAATTAAATTTCTCTAAGTATTTCAAATATATAATCATTGCCAGATTGGTTACCAAAATTTTATACCTAAAAAGTGGGGGACTAAAACTAATTTTATCATTTTAGGTACAAGTGTATTTACCAAGCTCTCAATCTTGTAGGATCTAGAAGACTTGAAATGTAGTGAAGTTAATGTCATTTAAAGAGTTTCATGGATCTTAGTTTTAAATTATTGAAAACATCACACATAATTAAATTCAGTTACATACAGTTTAAAACAAATACCTTGAGGTGTCATTCATGAATTAGGAAGTACCAATTTGATTTTCCAATTTGAATTTTTACTCTAAACCCTGAAAGTAATTCTATAGAGAACTTCTTGTTCCTTTTCATTTTATATAGAATTGGCATTCATTCTGTCACTTTGCACTTATTTTCACTCAAATATCTTCATGTTAACTTATAAGTACTATAGGACTCATACTTTTAGTATTAAAATAAAAAGTTTTATTTATTTAAAAATGTTAAAAACACAATTCCTTTAGGAAAAAAATTCTGAGGTTTTTTGTTTTTGTTTTTAAATCCGTAACAGGATTCAGAGCAGTATTTGTCAATGTTTGGTAGGATGACCAGGATGTTTGATCTACCTGGGGTCCTCTTTAAAACTAAATTTTGTTTCCACCCTAGAGATCTACTGAATCAGAATCTCTGAGGATGGGGTCTAGGACTAACTTTTTAAAATGTTCTCAGGGTACTGTTTTTATGCTAATGTGTGAGAGACACTGACTTAAGTAGAAACAAAATGTGACTGTGGGTGGTTTCACTGTAGATATAAAACGAAGTAAATATTAAAATAATTTAGGAAGTCCAGTCAAATCCCATAATGGTCTGTAAGGTAGTCTAAGACTGCTGATGTGCTTGACAAAGCGTTAAATACTCTTTTTTCCTGCCTTGACGTTATCTTTTCCATCATGTACATTAAGTGTTGATGGAAACACATATATGGAGTTCCAAGTTCAAGAGCAATGTCAACCCAGTCCCAGATGCACTTCAGTGGGGTTTCCTCATATCCAGCAAACATGGCCGGGTTTGCTAAGAGTCCTCTTGCAACCATCACACCTATAAATTAAAGCATATCACATTTGTCCACACATTAAGAACTCGTGGTTATGAGGTCAAACTTAATGAAACAAACTGAGAATATTGAAAAATAAAGTATTATTACAAGGTTTCACAATAACCACATATTAGTCTAACTCAATTACAAAACAATTTGATATGTTTGTAAACCAATAATGTTTCAATGTACTTACAAGAATTTAAAAAAAAATTTTAAGACTTCTACATTAAACAATTAGTCTCTAGGGTTTTTTTTTTTTAGGGTTAATCCAGATTGTCATAAATTGGATTTGCTTAGGTTTATTTGCATTCTCCCATCTAGCCATACATCACAGGCCTTGGTGTGCCAACAATTTAAGGTAGTAATAAAACTGCATAGCAGTATGTAGTTCCTTTGGCTCCTATGACCACTCTGTGTTCACTAATTCTCATTTCTGTTTTACTAAAAGGCTATTTTACTAATAGTCTTCTAACTGGATATGATGGTGGGAGAAAAGTGACTTACCCAAATTAAAACATCTACTGCCTCTAAGTAAAAGAGCTAACATAATTTTAGTAAGTTGTTTAGCTTAAATCAGTACAACAGGAAAATATGGCTCCAGTTTAAAGACAAATAATGAAAAATCACATTAACATTACTCTCCTAGCCCCACTTTTTTTTTTGCTAATTAAAAATCAAAAAAACTCAAGTACTTATTTCTTACCATCTGTCCCAGTAATATGCCACACATTTTTTGCTTCTTTTAAGTTTCTGATGTCTCCGTTAGCAATTACAGGTATAGACATGTTTTCCTTAATTATTTTAATGGCCTCATAGTGAACGGGCTGATGTCTTTCTTCAGCAGTTCTTCCATGGACTGTAATCCAAGAAACTCCTGTTGCCTCAGCCTTTCGACAAAGATCTACAGTTCTTGTAAGGTCATCATGGATCCTGTAATTTCAAAATTACATCAGTCTACTTGCACATACAAATCTTAATGCTAAAATTAATAAGTTAAATAAAAAAATTTCATCTGATACATTATTCAGTTAGCTTTGCTATATTATCACCACATGCCACTATCAGAAAGGTTTTGTTCAGAGATCAGTTCCCATTTAAGGCTTCAAATTTAGCTATTTCACTATCGGCAACAATAGGATGATAAATTTTACCTTACTTAGTGCTTCACCCTTTTGGCTTTGATAACTGAAAAAGTCATCCAAGTACTGTCATGGAGGAATGGAAAGATAGTATCCTAATATCTGTTGTGTATGCCCCAACCCCTGAGTGGGAAAATATAATACATTATCATGAAATATGTTTTTAACCTGTCACCCAAAAACCTATTCCTGGCTTATTTTCTTTTCATTGTGCAATTTTAGTGCAAGCATTATTACTATTTTCTACTCTTGGTACCAGGAACGTTTCTCAGCATCATCATCATTATTATTTTTCTAAAGTAGACTTCAGGCTCAGTGTGGAGCCTGGAGAAGGACTTGAACTCACGACTCTGAGATCAAGACCTGAGCTGAGATCAAGAGTTGGACGCTTAACCAAGAGAGCCACCCAGGCGCCCCTCTCAGCATTATTAATTAGGCCGTACATGGAAAAAAACAGAGGGTTTCTTTTGAGGGGAAGTTTTTAATAATAAAGGGATGTTTTAATTTCTGTTAAAAAAATACAAAAATGAAGTTCTGTTATTTTTATAAATAAAAATTATGGTAGTCATTTACTAAATGTCTTATTTCTACATTTCCATACACTAGCTACCAATTTATTAAGGATGGATACCTTCACACTCTTAGACAAAAGGAATTTTTTTTTAAATTTCCTAAGTAATGGACTATCTTGTTAGTAGATTAAAATATTGTCTTTACCTTATTTTAATAGATACTGAAAATCTGGGATTTTCCACTTGATTTCTTACTTGTTTCACCATATCTCGAACAAGCTCTGGCTTGTTTATTAAGCAAGCTCCATAACCTTCTGCCATTGCCCACCTTTATAAAGCAGACACAACAAATGAATTGTAAATAGATGAACGAGGAGATACAATTTTAAAAGCACCATTAAGTACATCTATTTCTCTATCTTAGTGACCTGGAATGGAATCAGATTTTTATAATTCATAGATCCAACATTTTAAAGTGGATCGATGGGAGATAAGGAAAACATGTTCCCAGATCAAAAAGTACTTAGGAGAAATGGTTTTCATTGGCAAGTGAGAAAATTAAATTAAAATTAATTCAACCAAACAGACTTAGGTATTTGTAATTAATTTCAATTACTTCAGATTTTTAGAATTCCAAATTTGATGTTTATTGTACATAACAAGATGTTTTATTAATCTTAATAGTAGAAAGATATTTTTGGCTTACAGCATTCCAACACCACTAAACAGCTTATTTAACTCTCCTAATGAGTATACAAATATGTCTAATCTGGTTTGGATTATGATGTACTTAAAACCTTGATTTTATTCTTTGGACACATTTTGTATTATTGACAGATAATCTGACATGGTGCTAGGAAGGTAGGGATATTAGTATCAAATTAAGCATCCTATCAATACCCAGTTACTCAGACTCAACCAAACAACTGTGGTATAGAAAGAAAAGGTAATTATAAGAAAGTATTCTTATAGAGAAAATTAATTAGGAGAAAACAAGTGGCGATTTCTCAAATCACAGAATCACAGTTTCTTATCTGACATAGCAGTAAAAATTCACTTTAGGGACTGCTATAAATGTTCTAGCCTTCCCTAGCTACTTATGGGTCAGGTTCAAGGCAGATCCACACACAAAAAAATTCTAGTGGTAAGACAAAACACTAATCTATACCTTGTTTTAGACAACAGAAAATACCTTTGCATATCTGTTCCTAAATAATCTTTCCTTATTTTTTTTCTTGCTTTTTATTTGGAGCCCAAGTGCTTTAACTCTATTTTCTTTATTTTTTTAATTCTTGGAAAACTAGAGAAATAGTTTACCATGTTCACATAGTTTTTTTCTAATTTTTCTGAAAATTCTTCCAACTTCTTTAAGCTTTACCTCTGAGGGCAACCACAGTTAATGTCTATTCCATTCGCATAAGGACAGACAATACGAGCAGCATCAGATAAAAGTCTTGCATCATTAGCAGCAAACTGAACAATCAATGGGCAATCACCTGATAAAACGAATAGCTCAACATTAAAATTCACAGAAACACACACACACACACACACACACACGATACACCAAACTCATCATGTTTGTATGGGATAATAACTATTTTCAGCCTAAGTATCTGTTCAAACAACATAGCATTTAACTAATTTTAAATATTTTAAATTAAAAGTAATTTACATTTAGTTCAAACAGTATAAAATTTGATAAAATGAACATTACAACACTCTTGACAAACAGATCCCATTTCCAAAGATGAGAATTAGTTTATTGTATTCCAGAACAATTTATGTATACCTGTAAAATTTAAGCAAATGTGAACATTTTATATATATTTCCATGACTACTGCTTCCCCCCGCCCCCCGCCCTGATGTATCTCAGAGTTGTACTCAGACCTACTTTCTTCTTTTTAGTAGCGTATTCTTCTGTATGGATGGACCACACAGTGTACTTCTAGACTGTTTTTCATTTGTGGCTTTTGCAAACAATGCTGCGATGAGAATACTGTTATGCTACTCTGAGTATATTCATAGGGTAAAGTCCCAGGAATGTAACTGCTGGATAGGCATCTAACATTTTGATAGACACCACAAAGCTTTCTTTCAGAAGAGTTTACCAATACAGATACACAACAATATGGACGGCAGTTCTTGTTTCCTCACAACTTATTCTACATTGTATATCCAACAATGTGTATTTTTATTTGTGGGTTCTCTCTCCATATTCTTTCGCTTTTTTTCTACATGTAATTCTTCTTTTGTTTTTTATTTTCTTATTTTTTAAAATTTTATTTATAAAACAAAGAAATGAGTTCTGCTATCGTAAATATATATCTATTTTAAATGAGAGAGAGAGAGAGAGAGAGAATGAGCAGGGGGAGGGGCAGAGGGACAAGCAGACTCCCCACTGGGCACGGAACCTGATACAGGGCTCGATCCCAGGACCCTGAGATCACTACCTGAGCCCAAGTTAGACGCTTAACCAACTGAGCCATCCAGGTGCCCCTCTATCGTAAATATTACATTCTTTCCAGGTTTTGGTTTGTCTTTGAGTACACGTGTGCTCCTTTCTAACATATAAAAGTTTACATTTTAATATAAAAATGTGTCAGATACTTCCTAGGTTTTTTTTTTTTTAAAGATTTTATTTATTTATTTGAGAGAGAGAATGAGATAGAGAGCGAGGGGAGAGGGTCAGAGGGAGAAACAGACTCCCTGTTGAGCAGGGAGCCCGATGTGGGACTCGATCCCGGGACTCCAGGATCATGACCTGAGCCGAAGGCAGTCGCTTAACCAACTGAGCCACCCAGGCACTCCTTCCCAGGTTTTAAGGACATATTTTTCACATCTTTCTTTGGGTTAGTGTTATAAGCTCTGGATAGATGTATTTTAATCTTTCTAAAGTTCTTTTGAGGACTACCTGTATGAGATTCACTAGGTATTAGCCAAAATGCAGATTTCTGAGCATCATCCCAGTTTCACTGATTCAGAATTTCTCTTTTCTGTTTATTTTTGTTTTTTTTTTATTCAGAATTTCTATGGCAATCCACTGATTTATAGGACTAACATGGGGTAGGAGAATTTGCTTTTCCCCAAGGATATAGGATGTTTTTCCCTTTATAACTCAAAGAGTTATAGTTTCAATTTAATAACCATTTATTAGTTTAATATATTTTCAACACAGGGCTAGAAGCTAAGGATACAAATCCATAAGAGATAATTCCAGACTTCAAGGAGCCCATAGTCTAGAGAATGGGAGACAGGCATACAAAGAGGATATTATAATACAGTAGAATTAAGTCCAATAAAAAGCCTGTGAGAGAGGATAATAGTGGAGGGTGATCTGGCAAACTCCCTGGCCACAAACTTTGAGAGCTGGATTAAGAACATGCAGTGTTGTTTGCCAGAGAGATATGGATCTGGGGGACGGGCCTAGCTGAGGAAAGGATATTCTAGGTAGAGAAGTATGAGAGGATGGGGCATTTTCAGGAACTTAAATAAGTTAGTATCATTAAAGAATAAAGTTGGTGGAGGGTGCCTGGGTAGCTCAGTTGGTTAGGCCACTGACTCTTGGTTTCCACTCAGGTCATCTCACGGGTCGTGGGATGGAGCCCCATGACAGGTTCTGTGCTCAGTGGGGAATCTGCTTGAAAGATTCTTTCCCTCTGCCCCTTCCCCCACTAGCATGTGCACATGCACTTTCTCTCTCTTTCTCTCAAAATAAATGAATAAATCTTAAAAAAAAAAAAATAAGGTTGGTGGGCTATGGAGAGAAACTAATGGAAGATAAAGCTGCTTAAGATATATCCAGAGGCTGGATCATGAGGAACATTATAGATTATTCACAGGTATTGGGATTTTATTTTAAGTAATCTCTTCACCTAACCTGGGGCTCGAACTCACCACCCTGAAGTCAAGCATCACATGCTTTACTGACTGAGCCAGCCAAGTACCCTGACACGTACTGGAATTTTACTCATTAGGCCACTGGTTTTCAATCTTTAGCAAGCTCAGAATCACCTGGAGGGCTTTTTAAAACAGATTGCTGGACCACATACCCAAAGTTTCTGATTCAGTGGGCCTGGGGCAGAGCTGAGAAATTTCCATTTTGAACAAGTTTCCAGATGATGCTGATGCTGCTGGCCTGGGGTTTCAGCCCTTGAGAACCACTGCTTTAGGCCATGAGCGGTCCAGGAAGGACTTTAAGCAGGGAAGAGATGTGATCAAATTTACATTTTACAAAGGTTCCTTTGGGCTATTTGTAGGATGGTTTGGAATGGGGCAAGACTGGAGGCAGTGAGATAGGAACCTAATAGCTCAGGTGAGAGGATGGGGCCCTAAGGAAGGCTAACCTCATGCTTAGATATATCATCCATAGTTTACAGGGCACAGAATAAAAATATACTTAAAAAACTTATTAAAAACATAAAACAACTAAAAGATTTAAAAAAAAAATATCTGAATTGTGCTGTTTCTGATCAGACAAGATTTTTTTTTTTTTTTTTAGTTTTACAAAGTCAGCAAACTCTCGGTTTCACATACCTTGGTTTGTCGTAAATTCACTGTCTCGGGCTTTTATAGATCTGACAAAATCAGCAGCAACTATCATTGGTGTATAGCACAGATCACAACTGTATTTTCTTACTAATGTTCTAAAAGCCAACCTGCAAGCATATAAAACTTTAATTAGGCATTTAAAAAACACCACAATCATATGTACTTCCAAGTTTAATTTAATTATTATATATTTATTAGAGGAAAGTTCTACCTTTGAGAGGCTAGAGTAGATGTACTTTTTCCTATTATGGCTGTTAAAAAAAGAAAAAACACAAGTCCAGAATGGAGTCATTTGCCCCTCCATGACCACAAACCAAGACTTAATTACAGTTTCAACCTATCCCAGGAATGTGACCTTTTTAAAAGTCAATCTGAAATTTCTTGAACAGCAATAGTATAGTACTCTGCAGGATAAAAAAAAAAATCCTGTTGTTCCCATCCCCACCAAAAGATATCCTGGCCTGAACCAATCCTTTCTTTTCTTTTGCTAATAACTACTTGTTCCACCCTCCTTCCTGTAAAAACCTCCCATTTTGTAGAACTCCATGGTGCATCTCTCTACTTGCTAGGTGGGATGCTGTGCGATTCATGAATTGCTTAATAAAGCCAGTGAGATCTTCATATTTACTCAGCTGAGTTTTGTTTTTTTTAATACTGCTCGATATATTATATATAAAACAAACATAAGAAAACTCTAAAAGGTGGAGAGAAGAGAACAGAAAGGCTAGTGACCTTGGGACCTGAGGAACAACAGTGGTGAGTTCCCTGGGTTTCCTTTTTGCCTCAAATATCCCAGATTTGGACCTGAAGAAGCTGGAACTCAGAAATACCAATGAGTGCAGACAAAAAGAGCCCCAACAAAAGTCAGCTCTCTCACCAAAGGACTAGGAAAGGGGAAGCCTAGCAAGACAGAACAATTTTAAATAGTGGCTCTACTCCAGCCAAACACCAGAGATAAAACTGTGGCCCCACCTCCAGAAGCAAAGGTTGAGTGGGGAGCTTAGATTTGTACTTTTCCAGGGCCAAAACAAAGTTCTCTAATACCTCTTCATAGTGGTGTCAGAGAAAGCCAGGTAGAAGCTGGGACTTCAATACTTTCTCCCTTCCCACTGTTAAGTAGTATCAGAGGATGCTTAGTGAATGGCCAGGACTTTCAATAGAGCCCAACAGGTACCAGGCCATCCCCTCCACGGCTTACCCCCAGCTCAGCAGTAATAAGGAGCCCCCTGCCCCCAGAGTGTCAAAGGAGACCAAATAGTAAATCCGGACTTTTACTTTCACCTCATAGTGATGAGGTAGTGCTTTCTCATTCCTTTCCTGCTATCGTGATGACAGGAAAAAAAAAGTTAAAACAGAAGGTTCGATATTTAGAATCAATCAATATAGTCCACTTTATTAAAAGGCTAAAAGAAAAATCACATAATTGTATCAATGTAGAAAAAGCATTTGACAAAATAATATTCATGATAAAAAGAAAAAAACCTCAAGAAAACAGAAATAGGTAGGAACTTTCTCCACTTGATAAAAAGCATCCACAAAAAACTCCTACAGCTAACATACTTAAAGGTGAAAAACAACATATTTCTCCTAGATCAAGAACAAGGCAAAGATGCTTGTTCTCATCATTCTTATTTAACACAGTGCTGGAACTTCTACTCAGTGTATGAAAAGGAAATAAAAGGCATATGATGGAAAGGAAAAAATAAAACTGTCCCTATATGTAGATGATTGTCTACATAAATAATCACAAGGAATTTATTTTAAAAACCCTCCAATAAGGAAGTTCAGTGAGTTTATAGGATACAAAAATCAACATAAAAATCAATTTCATTTCTATATACCAACAGTGAATACATGGACACTGAAGTTAATAGTATAAAGCCATTTACAATTGCTACAAAAAAAGAGAAATAATCAGGTGTCTTACAAAACATATATAGCACTTAATATGCTGAAAACTACACACAACGATGAAAAAAATAAAAGATCTAAATAAATGGGAAAGATACTATGCTCATGAGTTGGGAGACTCAACATAGAAAGGAATTCAATTCTCAAATTGACACACATATTTAATGTAATTCTTCTGAAAATTCCAGCAAGATAATTTATAAGAAATTATTGAGAAAGGCAAAGGAACTAGAATAGCTAAAACAATACTGAGAAAGACAAATAAAGTGGGAAGAATTAATCTACCCAACTTAAAACTTATTATATAGCTATAGTAATCAAGATTGTGTAGTACTAGCAGGGATATAGACTCATAGATCAATAGAACTGAATAGGAAAAAAAAAAAAAAGAAGAGGGAATGTAGATAAAGAGCCACATAAACATGCCCAAAATGATTTCTGACAAAGATGCAAAAGAAATTCAATACTGGAAAGACAGCCTTTCAAATGGTGTTGGAGTAATTAGACATCCACAGGCAAAACAAAACATAACAAAAAATACCCCTTCAACCTAAGCCTCACATTTATACAAAAATTAACTCAAAATTGATTTAAATGTAAAACAAAAAAAAAACACAGACTTTTTGAAAAAAAGTATTAGAAAAACTTTAGGATTAAGAGCTACACAAAGTTCTCTTACACTTGACATCAAAAGCACAATTTACAAAAGGAAAAACTGGTAAATTAGTTTTTATCATTAAACAAAAAGCTTTTGCTCTGTTAAGAGGATGAAAAGATAAGCTACATTCTGGGAGAACATATTTGCAAATCACATATCTGACAAAGGAATAGTATCCAGAATATATAGAGAACTCTCAAAACGCAGTAGTAAGGAAAAACTCAACAACAAACATCTGATTAAAAAATGGGCAAAGGGCTTGAGTAGACATTTCTTCAAAGATATACCCATGGCCAATAAGCACATGAAAAGATGCTAAGCATCATTAGGGGCATACAAAACCACAATGAGATACCACTTTACATTCATTAGGATGCTATAGTAAGGGGTGCCTGGGTGGCTCAGTCGTTAAGCATCTGCCTTTGGCTCAGGTCATGATCCCAGGGTCCTGGGATCGGGCTCCTTGCTCCACGGGAAGCCTGCTTCTCCCTCTCCCACTCCCCCTGCTTGTGTTCCCTCTCTCCCTGTGCCTCTCTTTGTCAAATAAATAAATAAAATCTTAAAAAAAAAAGGATGCTATAGTAAAAGCAAATAAACGATACAGTAAGTATTGGTGAGGATGGTGAGAAATTGGAACTCTTGTACACTGCTGGTGGGAATGAAAAAATGGAAAACAATATGGCGGTTCCTCAAAAAACTAAAAATAGAATTGCCATATGATCCAGCACTTATTCTGGGCATATATCCAAAAGAATTGAAAGACATATTTATACATCCATGTTCATAGCAGTATTATTTGCAATAGCCAAAAGATGGAAGCAACCTAAGTGTCCATAAATGAATAAACAAAACATAGTACATACATACAAATGGAGTATCATTCAGCCTTTAAAAAAGAAGGAAATTCTGATACATGCTATGACATGGATGAACCTTGAGGATATTATGCTAAGTGAAATAAGCCGGTCTCAAAAAAACAACTATTATATAGTTCCACTTATATAAGGCACCTACAGTAGCCAAGTTCAAAGAGTGAAAAAGTAGAATGATGATTACCAGGGGGTGGGGTGGGGAGCGGAATGGGGAGCTACTGTTTAATACGTGTAGAGTTTCAGTTTTGTAAAACAAAGAGTTTTAGAGATTGGATGTATAACAATGTGAACGCATTTAACACCACTGACCTGCAAACTGACAAATGCCTAAGTTGTATCTTACCACAACTGAAAAATTTTAAAAAACCAACTCAATAGTAAAAAAGCAATTTAATTAGAATATTGGCAAGAGACATAAACATTTCTTCAACAATATACAGGATAAATACACGAAAACATTTTCAACATCACTAGCTATAAAGGAAATGGATATTAAAATCATGAGATATCACTACACACCTATCAGATGGCTAAAATAAAAAACACGGTATTATCAAAAGTTGGTGAGGATGAGGAGAAACTAGATTCCTCATACTGTGAGTGGAAGTGTGAAACAGTATAGACACTCCAGAAAATTTGGCAGTTTCGGGCACCTGGGTGGCTCAGTTGGTTAAGCGACTGCCTTCGGCTCAGGTCATGATCCCGGAGTCCTGGGATCGAGTTCCACATCAGGCTCCCGGCTCAGCGGGGAGCCTGCTTCTCCCTCTGACCTTCTCCCCTCTCATACTGTTTCTCTCTCTCTCTCAAATAAATAAATAAAATCTTTAAAAAAAAAAAAAAAGAAAATTTGGCAGTTTCTTAAAGACTAAACATACAGTTACCACATGACCTAGCAATTGTAGTCCTGGGGATTTGTCCCAGACATATGAAGACTTACAGTCAAACAAAAACCTGTGCATGAATGTTTACATTTACTTAATATCTTTTATTTAATATCCTCTGTATCTTTATAGGTGGGGGTTACAAACACTATCTTTTTTTATAGATATAAAAAGTGAAGTTTGAAGGGGTTGTTTACTCAAGGTGACACACATAATAGGAAAATAGTAACACCAGCACACAAGCCTAGATCATGACCCGAAAGCTAGGTGTTTGATGATCCCCTATGGTGGTCAGAGCATAAAAAGGAAATCACATCTTAGCTCATTAACCATTTACTAATACTTACTTTGAATATCGAACCATTGGGGCACAGACTTTTACCAGCTGCCCAGAATGAAGCATTTCTATTGGATCTTTTTTTCTTTCTTGACATATTGTGGTTCGTATGCAGTCACTCTTCATGAATACAGATTTGTTTTAAATCTGACAAAGACAGTTTGCATAGAGAAAAATTACTTTCATTAGATGAATTCCCATCATTCGAACAATTTCAATTGCCAAGAACATATATATATATATATATATTTTTTTTTTTTGGTCAGGCTTGTGGGCTCAGGAATCTTTTTAGCTTCTTTTCAGAGTATCAAATAGGATACTACAGAATCTTGTCTCTATAAGTCACTGACAGTTTTTAGTACACTGTGAAATCATCACGTTTATATATTCGGTACAAATTATGCTTGTTCGTGTCAAACACTAACAGTTTCAAATTCTATATTTAACTCACTAAAGTAACATTTTCTGCTCAAATTAATAAATGCTCAAGGTGTGGAAAACTACAAGTTTTTTTCTTAGAATACCATGGTTTTTCATGTTATGTTTAAAATTTCCCATGTTACTGTTTGGTATTGATAAACCAGAAAATTTGATTTGAATAATTTCATATATAAGACTGCATATGTCTGGCACTTTGAAATACCTTGTTTTATGCAGGAAAACTAAATGGCATTAATTGAACAACTCTAGTTAGTATTTCAAGAGATTTACTGGTCTTATTTCATGTTTATTCTTACTTGCAATTTCTATTCTTTGTATCTGAATCAGAAGGCAAACACACTATTTAAAAAAATTTAAATGTGGTATCATCTAGCAAAAATTTCAATTATAATCATATAATTGCATAGTAAATCACTTTTATACCCAAAGAAGTACAAGTGATTAAATTATAGTTCGTGTTTTTAAATTTGCTATACCTAAAATCCTGTCATTTCAGTGTTGGCTGCTTTCCATATTCCAGTGTTTGGCTTTAGTAATTTAGCAACAGATATGGGCAAACTTTAGGAAGGTCTAATTGCTCAACATGCAATTTTTTTGTTTAGCTAATCCAGAAAGTACTATTATAATCTAAATATAAACCAATAATTTCAATTTCTTTAGGTATAATGTACAGTTGAAATAAGCTAGTTTTACTGACCAATGCTCAGTCTGACTTTTACCTCTTTTTAGTTTTTATTTATTTTTAAAGATTTTATTTATTTATTTGAGAGAGAGAGGGAGGGAACAGGGGGAGGAGCAGAGGGAGAGGGATGGGCAGACTCCTTGCTGAGCATAGAGCCAGATGCTGGGCTGAGATCATGAGCTGAAATCAAGAGTGGGAAGCTTAACTTACTGAGCCACCCAGGTGCCCCTTACCTCTTTTTTTAAAGTAAAAATTTCTGATTAGAAAAATGTAAGCCCACATACGTAGGTAAAACAAAAGCAAGAGAAAGGTAGTTCCTTTTCACGAGTCAAGCCTGTTCCTTCTCTCTTGCATTTTGTGTCCTGATTATGCCACGTCTACATACTCAAGTCAGAAACCTGGGGTTTGTCCTCCACTTCTCCGTCTCCCACAAGTGTGTCAACCAACTAGTACCTTTAATTAAATCTTGAGCAAATCTTCATTGCCTTAGTCTATGTACTCATAATCTCCCATTTTGATGACTCTGACAGTTTTCTCGGAATCCCAGATAGAGTTGATCTAACCCACTATACTCTAGGCTCTCTTGTTATCATGTGCACTTGTAATTACTTTTATAGAGTATAATAATAACAAGTCCATTTCTTCTTGAGCTTTTGAGGGTATGGACATGTATTTAATCATTCAACAAATACTAAGTTCCTGTTGGGAATACCAGATGGAAATACATTTCTCCTGTCTTTAAAAATCTATTAGACATACACAAAATGGTAGTTCTAATACATACACTTACACACAATTTAACTGTTATGGAAATAATTGTCTAGAGAAATGAGGGAAATCATCAACAGTGGAGGAGGGAAAGCTTGAGCTGACATGTGGGAGATGGGGAACTGTCCTGTCACAGGGAGCAACACATAAAACCAGAGAGGCTTGAAAATGTTTGATGAAATAAACCTGAGAAATGAACCATTAGAAGTCCCTTGTTATTTGAGCAGATTAGGAGAAGGCCTAGATAATCATGGACCTTATATTCCATGTTAGTAATTTTTAGATTTTATACTATAGAGCTTTGACTCTTAACCATTTTTCCACCTTTGTGGGTGATTTTTCATATGCACCCAACATGTTAATACATGCATATGACACACTTTCATACATAGCAGATTTATGTACAGGCTGTATGTCTCTCCTTGTATATTTGTAACTGAAACATTTTAGCAGGAAAATGACATGATTAGATTTCTGATTTAGAAACATTTCACTGAAGGGGGTAGGGCTTTTGGCAAAGTATCAAAGGAGGCTATTGTAGTAAACCAGTCCAATGCATGAGTATCTGACCTGGGTCGCTAGGAATAAGAAAAGAGAACACACTTAAGACCTATTTAGAAATAAAAATAAAAATAAACTGGCAACATATTTAGGAAGTGGAAATCATTTCAGGACAGTGCATGTTTTATTACTATAAAGGAATTTTAGGATGATGTTTATACTTGGGCTTTAGAGGCTAGGTGGATGGCAGTTCCAATCAATGAGATAGAAAATGAGGAGGAATAGGTTTTGGCAGGGAAACATGAGTTCATATTTGAGCACATTGAACTTGAGGTGCTCTTGGGATTTCCAGATGGTGATGCCTCACAACTGCTTATACAGATATGGTGCTCAGGAAAAAGCTAGACATACAGACTGAGAGTCTGTAGCCTTGTGGTAATAAGTTGAAACTAAACACATGGACGAAGTACTTAAGGATGCCATATTTTGCAAGAAATCCTTAGAAGCACCAACATTTAAGTAAAAGACAGAGAATAATGCAAAGGAAACTGAGATGAATTCTGGAGCTGAGAAGAATAAACCCGAAGAGTGATATTCAAAAACTGAAAAGAGGGGAGAATATCAAGGAGGGAGGGGATAAGCACCTTAAACATCACAGAAAAGCTAAGTAAGAAAAAGACTAAAAGGCATCTAATAGCAACTAGGTTGTTAGTAACTTTAGCAAGAATAATTTCATTCTTATTCATTCTTATAGTTCTAGTACATGGCACAAAGGCCTCCCTCAATATGTATTTGCTTAATGAATAAATCAGTGGTTTTCAATCTTGGTTGTATATTAGAATAATCTGGGGAGCTTTTAAGACTCAGGATGCTCAAACCATACCCCAGACCAATTAAATGTGAATTTCTGGGCTTAGGATGCAGGTATCAGTGGGTTTTTAAAGCTCTCCAGGTGATTTCAATGTGTAGTTAAGCTTAATAAAGAAATCCATAAACTGTAAAGCACCTGGTGCAATTGTTTGTTTACATGGGTTTCTACCTTACTTATGAGCTCCTTTGGAACAAGATAGGAATTGAGTCTCATTTGTAAACTGGTGCTGGTGTGTATGGTTGGGGTCTTCACTAAATGAACGAATATTATGCAACTTTTCTAGAATCATCCAATGTAAAGCCAAGAAAAAAAGAACCCGTAATTCAAAGATGATACTTACTCATCAACCTTAAAGAAGTACTAAAAATTTTGTGTATTATGGATAATGAAATCTAATGTGAGTCTGAGCACGCTGCCCTGAACAATTCATGTGACTCATTCAGAACAATTCTAGTCAGACCGTGATTGAGACCAAAAACACTAGGGGAAAACCTGAGACAAAGTCAAGAGAAAGCATAAGGCAGTGTTATCAAAAGACATGCTTACCTGAGTGGTTATGAGTATTAAATGCAACAAAGTACTATTCTAGCACCTTGTTGAAATACTGTTAGAAGAATCGAGAGAACCGTGTAGCTCCGGAATCGGGAAAAACTGGTTCTCCGTGTACAGGGGAAGTTATGTTACAGTTTCTCTTTATGTAGGAACGCCTAACCTTCTTGCACAAGAGTAGTTAACCTGTTAAATTATCAGTATCCATCTTGGGAGAAATCTAGGTGAATAATGCACTTGTATTAGCGGAGGAGACAACGGGAACTAACTTGATTTGACAGCTTCAATACTGTTAGTTGAGATATGGAAAATCCATCAGTTTGTAATAGGAAAAAGTTTGACATCACTCCTAGCACGTGGCTGAAAAAGAAAGGAAGAGGCAGGAAAAGCTTAAGGTCAAGAGAGGGCAAAGACTGAGTCCACTTGTCTTTTCCCGGTTCAGTCTTCCTTCTTCACCAACCTTCGGCTCTCCCTAACTCTGCCCTTAGTGAATATTCCGGCAACTTCCTTCCCAACCTTTCCCCGCCAGCCTTTACCCCAGGACTGTTAGCCAAGGCCTGTGGCACATAAGGCTGGGGAGTTACTAACTTTCCCCAGCTGTGTTTGTGGAGTGCAAGCGAGGATCCCAGAAACCTCCGCTTTCCTGTCCAGCCTCCACCGAGAGGCCCCTGTTCTCAGGTTAAATACTTGCACAGAGATAAGCGCTACGGCCAGGCTCCCGCGCCCACCTTCTCTTCAGCCGGGGGAACGACGTCAGCCCCAGTGGCGCGACAGGAGACGGCACAGGGCGCCAACGCCGCGGCCTCGGCTTCCCCCACGCGCCGGGTCCTGGGCGCCAGCCAGCTCCGGGAGACACGCGGCTCTCAGCCGGGATTCCTCCAGCTGCGGCCGCTTAGCTGTTTCCCCAGGCCGGCCGGGAGCCGCGGGCTGGGCGGAGCGGGCGGCGCCGGCATTGTGCGTCACCACCTGGGAGGGGCGAACTGACCGCTGACGCCATCACCCCGGCACCTGCCAACATGGAAGGTGGTGACGGCGGCGTCGCTGTAGCTGGCCAAGGGGCTCTGGGTTCTGGGGCGGCGACAGCGACAGTCCGGGAGCTTCTGCAGGACGGTAAGGAGTCTGGGTCTGGCTGGGTGGTGGGCCTGGGGGGACGGTCCTGCTCCGCACCTGGACCCGGGAGGTGGACTCAACCCGTCGCTTTGCAGAAAGTTTTCCGGTCTCGACGTGACCACTCCCCCCCCGCCCAGCCAACCTGTTTCTCCAGAGACTAGCAGCCCCCTTCCCTTCCGGGTGTCCAGGGGACACCTGATTTCTGGTTGCTACTCATTTCAACTCTACCCCTCCTGCACCTGAGGTTTCTCTGAAGTCCTGGGACTGCCGCACTCCGGTGACCTAGGTTGACAGCCACTGGCTGCTGCCGCAATTTTTGATGAAAGGAGGAAGCGTTGCATCCCATGAAAAGTGAAAGACCGAGAACAGATAGATGACAGCTCTTAATGTTAAAAGGGCTTCATTTTTAAGTGGAGTTGGAAGCATCCCTTTATTAATTCTTGGATTACACAGGTTTTTTTTTTTTTTTTTTTACAAGGCATTTATCCACAACCATGCATGGGACAAGTTGAGAACATTAGTTCAGGCAGGGATTAACCATATGTATTGAATATAGGAGTTTATTGATAGTTTTGGACAGAAGAAAACTCTAGGAAATAAGTTAAACATCGTACATTTGAGAAGTACATTAAATTGTATTAATTCAGTTAACACGCCGCAAATCCCGTATTCTTCAGAATAAAGTTCAAATTTCTTCTCATCTGTTCTTAATTTTCTTCCCTAATTGCCATCACGTTCTACCTGGTATTGAAATAATTTGTGTACCTAACTTTTTCTGCTGCATTGTAGAACCCCTTTTTATATCCCACAGTTAATAACGGTACCTTTCATATGGTGGGTGCAGAATAAAAATTTTTTAATGAACATCACAGTAAGCATATGCACACATTTGTAGACCAAAGTAGGTTATAAACAAAATAACATTCTAGATTATTGTTTTTCTCTGAGTGTTGTATATTACTGCCCTTAATTCCTTGCCTTCTGCTGATAATGTATATACTAAACTTTCTGATGAGGTGGTTTTCTGAACTAGATTGTGTTAGATTCTCTAGGTTAGGATCTCTGTCCAATGCATCTCTGTATCTTAATTTAAATTCCATTTAACCAAGTTTTGAACTCCTGATAAGTGTGCAATTCCCACCCTCAAGCAACTTGCCATTTTAGTAAGGGGAAATAATCTTGTAAAGCTGTGAAGGTAAGCATTATAATATAGTGTTGCTGGGTAGCAGCATTGTGTACAAAGTCAAACAATACAGAGGAGGATGATAACTGGGTGTGATTAGGGGAGTGTCGGGAAAGGCTTTCTAGATGGAATTGGTTTTGAAGTGTAAATAGAACTTCCCTAGGTGAAGAAGTGGAAGAAATAATACATGTCAGGCATAGGTATATATTTCAGTAGAATGCATTCTGGAATTGTAATCAGTTTTTGAAGGGTAAATAGTCCTTAATTCTGCCTTCTGTATTTTCCTATTTAGTTCTCTTTTCCATCTTCCACAGTGATTATTTAAATCCTTACTCTTTCAGACCTCCCCTTTCAAACTCAACAAATGACTTTAAACTTCCCTGAAAAAGATAACCCATCAGATGTGAGCTTCCTCCATTTCTTGCCCCATCAAACCTATGAACTAAACCTAAACCTGTAACTGGCCTTTCTTTTTCCCTTGTATTTTCCATTACTCTAGAAGTAGAATCTCTGCTTCTAGGGACGGTCTTCCTCCTGTGCTCTGGATTTCTTTCCTGTCTCCTTAAGGACCCAGTCACCCTCGTTCTATGCCATTGAAATCTCTTTGCTAAGGTCTCTAATGACCTTGTGAATAAATCAAATGGATACTTTTTGGTCCTTATCTTACTTGACCTTGTAAAAAGGGTTTGACTCTTTTCTTGAAATACTTCCCCTCATGTGACTTGTGAGTTCTATGCTTAAAAAAAGAAAATTCCTAATGCTCTAAATGCTCTTTTCCAAGTTCCTTTAATTGCTAGTCTTCAGTTTGCCCCTAATTCAGTGGTTCACACCACCCATTCTCTGTAACATTCCTAAAAATTAAACATTTCTGTCCATAATAGTGATTCACTATGTACAGGATCTGCCAGTGGTAGAGGACAGAATTGATAGGGTTGGTGAGCAGATGAGTAGTTGGAATAATTTGTGAGCTGTTCCTGATGTACCTCCTATAGGAATGAGACAACTATAAAAGAGAAACATTATATGACTTTTCTTCTGATGGACAATCAGCCCTCAAATGCCAAGTCCAGTGGCTAGTATTCAGCCTTCACTGTTTTGATCTTTATAAGATCTTTGACACTATTTACCCCTTACTTTCTCCAAACCGTCCCTTGCTATTCTTGTTTTTCTTTCTCTCTGCTCCTTAGTTTCCTTGATTGCTTTCATTTTCTCCATCTACTTCCAAATTTTTGATGTTTGCCTGGCTTCTGAACTCAGTCTTCTCCATTTCCCTCTTTTTGTACATTCCAAAATTTATTCCTAAATCATCTTTTTTTTCATGGTTTCAAAATTAATATAGATGCACACAAATACACGTATAGATGGTCCTTACCTCCCTTCTGAGCTATAGGATTATTGTCTACTGGACATTTCTATTTTGATAGTGAAAAGGCATGATTAGTTTTACATACCAAAAATTACATATGAACAAATAGTTCAGGTGCTATATGTGAAAAAATGAGATTATTTCATTTTTTTTTTTACCCCTTTCCTCTAACCTTCTCTGTTACCATCAATTGTATGTGGTTAGTTAGATGTGTGCTTGTTTCCCATGTAGATTATGAGTTCCTTGGAGGCAACAATATGTTCATTTTTATCTTTATGCAAAGATGCCTAGTGGTCGAGCTCAATGCAAAGCTGAATTCCCTATGTCAGTTAGTCAAGAATCATCCTTTTACTTCTTGCTCTACCTAATTACCCATTTTCAGCTTGTCTCTAAGTTCTACACATTATACTGTCTGAATATTTGTCAAATTAGTCACTTTTTTTTTTTTTTAGGGCCATTGTCTTAGGCCTTTATCATGTCCCTTGGGCTGCTAACAGCACCTTACTGGCGGCCTCTGCAGGTCTATTACATGAGTATACTGGTAAACCAGCTTTCTGGTAAAATAGGAAAAGCCCTGATTTTGTTTTTTTAAAGATTTTATTTATTTATTTGAGCGAGAATGAGAGAGAGCACGAGAGGGAAGAGGGTCAGAGGGAGAAGCAGACTCCCTGCTGAGCAGGGAGCCCGATGTGGGACTCGATCCCGGGACTCCAGGATCATGACCTGAGCCGAAGGCAGTCGCTTAACCAACTGAGTCACCCAGGCACCCAAAAGCCCTGATTTTGTAGTGTATGCCAATTTCTATGGTATAAATACTCTCATCATGGTCAATTTTTAAGATGCCTACATGTGATGTCCCCTAGCTCACACAATTCCTGAAAATTTGAACCGTTGGCTCTCAGGAGCCAATATGAGCCAGCTTCAGCACACCACTGTGTGACTAATCCCTTTTCAGTCATCCTCCATACTGCTGTCAGAAACTAAAACACAAAGCTGTCAGTGCTCTTTCTTATCTTTGACCTCAGTGAGATATATTCTGAACATTTTAGAAGTCTTTACCAGTCTCTTTTTAAACTGCCCTCTCAGCCTTCCTTTGGAACCTCAACTCATCATTCTTTCCCCTTTTGCCCAGCACACACACAGTGTGATCTAGACACACTGATGTCAGCGTTGCCCTTATTTCTCAAAATATGCGATGGCATTTGCTTCTAAACCTTCCCTCTTCTTGGAGTAGCCTTCTCCACTTAGCTGCCTTGCAGGATCCTTAATCCTGAAAAGTCCCTGGCAGACTGGAAGGAAATGGGGTTCCCAGAATTAAGGCCAAAGTAGCAGTTTTTCTTTCACTCTGAGAATCATCAAGAATGAGTCTTTGCTCTTTGCAGAATGCTACTTCCAGCTGATATAGATTGATTCATTTAACCGGTATGCAGCACCTGCCATGTGTCAGGCATTGTTCAGGCTTTAGGGATGTGGGAGTAAACAAAACAAAGCTCTTGCCTTCATGGAGCGTACATTGTGTGGATAGAGACAATGGTTGCTGGTTAGTTTTATAATCTCTATCAGGGTAGTTTTACCCATATCTCCCACATGGGTGGAAGATAGTGGTTTTATACCTACACTGAGCTCAGTTCTGCGTAACTATTTTTAACTCTTAATTCTCTCCATTTGTTTTTCACCCACAGATTTTTGGGTTTCTGTACTGAAAGATATCTTAATATCTAGCATCACTTCTTTTTTGGGTTCATTAGGGGTCTGTTTTGAACATAGGCTCTCTTTCTGTTTAGTTATTTTACTCATAAATCCTTAGTTTCAGTAACAACTGAAAGTTTGTGTTTGCCTATTTCTGTTAAAATTCCAGCTTCACTTTATTATGACAGCATTTGTGCATTGATTTAGAGAAATTGGAGACCGTAAATATCAAATATAGTCAATTTGCCTGTGGTCATTGTCAGTGACCTTGTTTTCTTGCATTAAAGGCTATGGTTAGTAGTTAATTTTTAATTTTCTACTCAGTATGTTCCTTTTGACTCACTGGTAAAAGTTAACTTTTAGTAGTGTAAGGTAGGGGTTCAGAGTGTGGGCTCTGCAGCCTGGATTCAAATCTCAGACAGGTTGGACAAGTTGTATGCCCTGTCTTTACCTGTCTCTTCATCTGTGAAATGGGGGAAACGATAGTTCCAGCAGGGTTGTGTGAGGATTGAATGCATTAATATGTTTAAAGTGCTTGGGTCAGTGCCTCACCCACAGTAAGCTCTCAGTGAATGTTACCACTCTTCTTATTTACAACAGTTCTTGGTGTATAAGATGTCAAAGTATGTTATCTATAATTGTTTTGTTGTCTGATATCTGTGGTTTAGTGCAGTGCAATTAATAATTAAAGACTTTTCCTTGTTTTTTCACCTAGAGTGTTACAGTGATTTTTTAAATGAAGACTTTGATGTAAAGACTTATACTTCCCAGTCAATTCATCAGGCTGTAATTGCTGAACAACTAGCAAAACTTGCCCAAGGAATCAGTCAGTTGGATAAAGAACTACACCTGCAGGTATTTCCAATCTTTTTTTTTTTTAAAGATTTTATTTAACAAAGAGAGACACAGTGAGAGAGGGAACACAAGCAGGGGGAGTGGGAGAGGGTGAAGCAGGCTTCCGACGGAGCAGGGAGCCCGATACAGGGCTCGATTCCAGGACCCTGGGATCATGACCTGAGCTGAAGGCAGACGCTTAACGACTGAGCCACCCAGGCGCTCCAGGTATTTCCAATCTTCTGGATCATCTGGATTCTTCAACCTAAAATGATAATTTATCACTTGTAATCCTTGCATTATTTAATCTAAATGCATATTTAAATGAGCAAATATGTAACTTTACCAGTGTGGCTTATTTTTCAAAGTATGTTTTTGAAAAGTTGTCTCTAAAGTACTTTTTCTTAGTTGAAAAACTAACATACCCCTCTTTCCAAAAGCTTTTGTTCATACTTTGTTTTCACTACCTTAACAGATGTGCAGTGAATATAGGTGGCTGAAAAATAGGAAGCCTTTGATAAAAGTAATAGGAAATGGAATTTTGGAAGTAGAACACTGAATAAGAAAAATTGGTGTGTTCACATTGGCACTTCCCACTTTATGAACACGAAGTGTAATATTTGCTGAAATTATAGAAAGTTGATAAATTTGTGGTAGAAAGAACACAATATGGAGAATTAGGAGATGGGTCCTAATCTCAGCTGTGCTGGTACCTTTCCTATCACTTAATGTCTTTGAGTTTTGCTTTTAAAAAGGGAAATCTATTAAATGGGTTGGAGTGAATAAGGAGGAAGAGATTATAGTGGAAGATCTTGAAGGTTCCTTCCTTTTCTACAATTCTGTAATTTTATAGGGAGTTTTATAGTATACTTCCTAGTGTTGGCTTTTGTCTGTTGAGTAGGCACCTAATAAATATTTAAATGAATGAACAAATGCATGAATATATAGTCTGTTTACCAGGAAACTTAGATCTAGTTAACAGACATATTCACTTAAATTTTTTGTGTTATACTTTATCAGTTGAAAGAGTAGCTTAGGACTGGGATGACTTCTAAGATCACTTTAACTTTGATTATATATTATACATTTTAATTATATAATTATATATTTTAATTGTCAGAATTCAAAAATTAGGCTGTGGGGATAGAAAAATGAACATATTTCCCAGCTCTCCAAGGACTCAGACCAGTGGCAGATACAGAGAGAAATAATGACAGGCAAGTAATAGTACAAAACGTTCATAAAAGCAGAGGAGAATGCTTAACTCTGCCTAGGGTTCTAAGGGGTGGCTTTTTGTAATAGCCACCTGAAATTCTTTTTTATGGTTGGTATTTTCTTTCTTTTTTTCAAGTTTTAAATTCCAGGTAACATACAATGTAGTATTAGTTTCAGGTGTAGAATTTAGTGATTCATCACTCATAGACAACACCCAGTGCTCATCACAAGTCTACTCCTTAATCCCCATCACCTATCTAGCCCATCCCCCGCCCACCTCCCCTCCAGCAACCCTCAGTTTGTTCTCTATAGTTAAGAGTCTGTTTCCTGGTTTGCCTCTCTCTTTTGTTCCCCCCCCCATGTTCATCTGTTTTTTAAATTCTATATATGAGTGAAATCATAAGGTGTTTGTCTTTCTCTGACTTAATTTGCTTAGCATAATACTAATACCATCCATGTCGTTACAAATGGCAAGATTTCATTCTTTTTTTTATGGCTGAGTAGTATGATTGGTATTTTCTTTATTCCTTGCATGCAGTACCTTCTTTGCAGGAATCAATAAAAACTAAAAATTTATTTAACATCTCTTACAGGGGGCACATTACACTTATAGTAGTCTGGAATATGAAGTAGAAGCCTAGTATGAGATCTGAACCTGCTATAATTGTTTTTCTGCAGAAGGAAAATTGGGATAATGCTAACCAAACCCATAATTTTCTTTTTTAAATATCATTGAGATGACTAAAATAACAAAAGATGTGATGAAGTATGTATTAGTTGGGGCTTAGGACAGGAAACAGAAACCACTCTAGGTATTTAAAGCAGGAAGATGTTTAATACAGAGAACTGGATGCTTCTGAAGTAAGCCAGTGTACTGAGTTGAAGGATCTACCTTCACGGATGCAGTGCAGAGGCCTGGAAGTTCCAGCCATTATCTCCCATGCCACTGCTAAAATTCCGCCACGGGGTATCCAATAACTAAATTCTAGAATGATTGATACGGCTTTTCCAACCATCTCTAAATTCTCAGGTCTCAGGACCTTGCTCATTACTAGCTGAAAGAGTAATAGGGAAATAGCTTTCCTTTCTTTCTGTCTTCAGATCTCTTGGAAATTCATCCAGCTGGCTGCAGGAGAGTTTATGAAAGTCTAATTTTAGGAGTTTCAACATTTCCAAAGTATTCTTCACAGGAAAAAGAAGAATAGAGAATTAAAATTAGTCTTGTTAGGATGCACACATCGATGACCATATCAGTGGACTGGGGAGAATTCAGACATGTTCTGGCCATCTTAACAGACGTAGGAGACCAAAAGTAATGGTTATTTTAGATGGATCTGATAGAAAGGGACTTGATAGAATAACAGTGATATCTGAAACAGGACAAAATGGAGGATGTAGGGGTTCCAGTGAATGAATCCTTGCTGATTAGGAGCTTCAGTTTCCAGCCTAGATAGGAAACTTCTTATTCATTGGAATTGAAAAGGTACAAAATGATAAGGATTCTTGCATTATTCTAAAAATTTGTATGATTTCTTGATATTTCTAGGAATCTCTTGCATGTGGTCTTTAACTCTTAAAGTTTTAGGGTTTTTGATGTGATCATTCACACTGCTCTAATTTTCATTAAAAAAAAAACCAGTCTTGCGCAGGGAAGAGGATTTACCGTGACCCTGGGAAACTGAAAGCAGAGAGATGTTGAGGAATAGGTGGGTACTGACTCTGCTTTATCTTTTCAGATTAGAATATGCTGAATTAAGTTCCAGAACTAAGAGAATCTAATGTTTAAAAACATTTTTACAGGGAAAGCATATAATAGCATGGCAAAAATTAGCTGGTTTGGGGTTTTTTTGATTTTGTTTTTTTATTTTCTGTTTTCAGTTTTGGCACAACTCTAACCTGCACTTCCCATTAGGAAAGCAAGGGCCTGGTGAAAAGGCTGTGTCTTCTTTGGCTCTACGTTCAACTATAAGCGTGTTTGTGTTTCTGCTAATAACTCATCTCAAGTAAACCTTTATCACCTGTATTTTTTTCTTCTGTGTTGGTGTTTGCGCCCTCTTATATGGAGAGAGACCTTTATTCTACCTTGTGGTTACAAAGAAAAATACCTAATACAGCAAATTCTTAATTTTCAGGTTGTTGCAAGACATGAAGATTTACTAGCACAAGCAACTGGGATTGAGTCTTTGGAAGGTATGTTTCCATTAAGTACTATAAATTAGATTGAGCTAGACCAGGGATTGGCAAACTTTAACTGTTAAGGATCACATAGTAAATATTTTAGACTTTGCAGGCCATACCATTTCTGTTCAACTACTAAACTCACTCTGCTGTTGCAGAGTGAAAGCAGCCAGATAATATTTAAATGATTGTGGCCATGTCCCAATAAAACTTTAATAAAACTTTATTGACCTCTGAGCTAAACTATCTGGGTTCAAATCCTTGCTTTGCCACCTAATAGATATGTGACTATGGACAAGTTATTAACCTTTTTGTGCCTCCCTTTTTTGTTTTTTAAATTTTATTATGTTGTGTTAGTCACCATACAATACATCATTAGTTTTTGATGTGGTGATCCACGATCCATTGTTTTTGTATAACACCCAGTGCTCCCTGTAGTACGTGCCCTCCTTAATACCCGTGACGGGGCTAATCAGTCCCCCCTCCCCTCTAAAACCCTGTTTGTTTCTCAGAGCCCATAGTCTCTCATGGTTTATCTCTCCCTCCAATTCCCCCCCCTCATTTTTCCTTTCCTTCTCCTAATGTCCTCCATGCTATTCCTTATGTTCCACAAATAAGTGAAACCATATGATAATTTACTTTCTCTGCTTGACTTATTTCACTT